TAGGAAATGCTAATATATCTGGGAAGGGCTAGCACTTTCTGTTCATTTTCATTGCTTAGGGATAGCATGATTTGACTAAAAATTCTGATTGACAAATCTGATGATTGATGAGTTATTAGGTTGTACTCAAACCTTTTTAAAAGCACAGCTGGAAGTTGTAATAGTTTCAGAATTTGTGTCATTAGATTCTGCCTTACTAAAAATACCTTTTAAACAAAAAATTATAGCACAAGTACATTCCATCTTGACTTACCAGTCACTTTGTTGGAGGTTTTTTTTTTTATCAAATACTGTTCTGTATAATAGCATTGTTAAATCAAAGTTAGGATCTTTCTGATCATAAAACTTAGATTTAATTATATTAAAAGTTTGAATTGTAAGAGTCTCCTTTTATATTTCAACATTTGATATCAAACCGCTTTCAGTGGGCAATTATTCATTTTAATAACATCTTGGTTATGTTATATGAGTATATTTATTTTTGTTTCTTTAGCTAAAATCAATGAAACTGATACATTTGGTCCTGGAGATGATGATGAAATCCAGTTTGATGACATTGGTGACGATGATGAAGACATTGATGATGTAAGTAAATGTGCCTTGCATTTTTCAATGTTTGTGAATTATCCACAGAGAAACCAGCTCCTTCCCCCAACTTCCTTTAATCTAAGAATGTTGAACATTTAAATAAGGGCATATTTTGAGACTTGAACATGAATTAAAATATTCAGTAGACAACTAATCAACTGTTTATACTTTGAGAAGTCATCTATTTTCAAAATTTCTCCCTAGAAAGATCAATATTTGCTTTGGCAATAAAGAGAGGAGGGGTGGACTGGCTGAAAGAGGGTAGAGGGATTAGCCAAAGAACATATATGCATAACCCATAGACACAGACAATAGTGTGGTGATGGCCAGAGGAAAGGGGGGCAGGGCTGGGTGGAGGTGGGCAAAGTTTAAAAAATAAATAAAACAAACCCCAAAAAAGAATGTCTAAAGCGATCTCTCTTAAGAACTTTAGTTGTAAGAAATATAGTATCTTACCAAAAAAACATGTCTTCTCTTGATTGAAATACTGGTATGTTAAAAGGAGTATCTGGTTTGCCACCATATGATGTTATCTGCTAGATATGTACTATTGGCAATCTCTTGGTTTAGAGTTAGTATGTTTATTTTGAGGAAAATGTATTGTTTTTCCTAACTTTAGTAAAGTAGTGATGCTCATAAGAGTAAATGCCTCATTGCCCTTCTGGTCAAACTTAATTTGGGTCAATATAAGTTTATTTAATAACTAGAGGCCTGGTGCACTAAATTCGTGCACGGGGTCGGGGTGGGGGGTCCCTTAGCCCAGCCTGCACCCTCTCCAATCCAGGACCCATTGGGGGATGTCCGACTGCCTCTCGCAATCCGGGACCACTGGCTCCTAACTGCTCACCTGCCTGATTGCCCCTAACCCCTCTGCCTGCCTGTCTGATCGCCCCTAACCACCTCTTTCTCATTGCC